GGCAATGCCCTCACTCCATTCAGGTCTTTGCTTCAATGTCACCCTGTCATGGAGTCCTTCCCTGACCACTTGCATGAAATAGTCACTCTTCACTCACCACGTAAGATGATCCCTCCTCCTATGTCTTCATAGTTCTTATCAACCTTCTCCCAGTATACATTTGTTCAGCTATATCTTATTTATCTCCCCCAACTAGAATGTCAACTCTGAGAAGAGTGACTTTGTTATGCTCTCATGATCATCAGCACCTGCATAAATGTTTTACAGTCGATTCTAATAAATATTTATTAAATAAATAAATAAAATCATTGTGTTAATTGTACTGAGTTTAATATTTTGAAGCTTTGAGTCTTTTTTTAGGATATGAATCCTGCATAATGAAAACCTTCTAGATCAACATTCAGTGCATTTGAAGAGGCACAGCTAATTTTCTGTTTTGCTGGAACAATATTTTTCTGCATTGCCACTCAATCTCACACTCCTTATTTATAGGAAAAATGCCTCCCTTAAACCCCAACATCAAGTCAGTCATTCCAAACCTCTTATAATGTTTAGTAGGAAGTGTTGTCTCATTAAGAGACAAGCGATATATTATAGAAGTATTATCTTATAATCATAAAACACATGAAATATAAATTAGACTATTCTTATCTGATTATGTTTGAACAATTGCTATTCATATACAAATTATATGATAAATGGAAATGATCCTAAATTCTAAGTAGAATATAAACTTGATAATATTTGCCATTAGAAAAAAAATAAAGTACATTCAACATTTTAATAGGAAACACAACCTTCTCATTTCAATCTTCAGGGAGCTAAACAGTAAGCAAAACCTATACCTAGGAACACGTCTCCATGTGTGATTTGCAACTCCTATAAATTAGGAGGCCTCAGCATTGTTTTATTTGTAGTTTTGGATCAAATGTACAATAATGGTCTTGCTGTTCCTTGTGCAGCTGTGTAATATAAAACAAGTATTCACTTCTCTTCTATAGTCCTGGTTCTAGGGAAATCACTCCTAATTATCATTGTAAGGATTATTTAATTATATAGTTTCAGAGGATTTATGGAAAATTATGAGAGACTGTGTAATGCTGCCATATGATACTGTGGCAGCACAATGATGGATCCCAAAGAGATCCAAGTCCCAATTCTGAAACTTTCAGTGTTCCTCTATGTGGCTCTGAAGGACTCTGTAGATGTGAGCAAGTTAAGGATTTGAAGAATAAGAGTTCAGGAAAACCTTTAGGGTAAAGGAGGAATTAGGAGGAGGGAGCATGGGAAGGAGTAGGAAGATACTGGAGAGGAGATTGGCCAAATTAAGTTTCCCTGTATGTACAAAGACACCACTATGAAACTCACCATTCTGTATAATTAATGCACACCAATAAAAAGAAATGTTTTAAAAAGAATATGACATCATCTAGGATTATCTCTGTGAGTCCTAAAAATATAGAGAAAAAAGGTAGGGGGGGAATCCCACGAAAATAGAAGAGAGATCAGTGGAATGGAGGAAGGGGATTGAAGAGGAGGGAGAAGGGATGGGAAAAGAGAGCAATGGTGGAATGAAGCTGACCAAACTACTGTGTGTGTGTGTGTGTGTATGAATGTATCACAGTGAGTTTCCTCTTTGGGTATATCTATAATGCACTAATTTTAAAGAGCTATAAATACATAGAAGAAAGACCAGTAGAATGAGGAAAGGGAGCAAGTGAGGGAGGAGAAGAGGGAAAGAGGATGTACTGGGAATTGAAATGGTGCGAATGCTTGTATAATTATGTCAAAATGAACCCCAATGTTATGTGTAATTATAAGGCACTAATAAAAATGAAAAAAATTCTTGTATCCTTATGAAATACAGTTAGAAACATTTAACCATAGGCAAAACAAGATTCCACAAAGTCACCAGGGTGACAAACCGAAGCCAGGTGACCAGAGGGCATGAAATTCCACAACCCATGGAGGATGGTAGAGGCAAGAAACGCAGTGTCTCTGGAGCCCATGAAGGGACCATGGCTCTGAGAGATCATTGATTCTGCTCGTGGAGATGATTTCACACTTCTGGTTTCCTTAACTGTGGAAGAAAAAATATGTGCTGTTGTAAACCTCCACATTTCAGTACTTTGTTAACAGCAGTCACTGGAATGAATACAAATCCTCACCAGGTGTTATCCATGTGATAATTTTTATTACTATGGCACATTTGCTTGGGGGAATTCACCAGGAAAATCCTGGAATTTCATTTGTTGGGAAGTTATTTGTGATTGATTCACTCTCTACACTTGTAGATATATTCAGATTTCCTTTTTCTCTACAGTCGGTTTTAGTAGTGTGTATTCCAGGAATTTGAATTTTATCTGTTATCCAGTTTGTTGGTATGCAGCTATATATAATATTTTGTTATATTATTTTTATAAGGGCAGACATGATATCCTTGCTTTCACTTATTAATTTAATAATTTGAGTTTTCTCTTTTTTCATAGTCAGTCTATAGAGATTTATCATTTTGAATAATCTTTCCAAATAATCAATTTTTTGTTTGTTGATTTTTATTATTATTTTATTACATTCTGTTTTGTTTATTCTGCTCTAATCATAGTTCCTTCTTTGTGCTCCTTCAGATTCTGTTTTCACAGTTAATTCTTAAAGTTTCAAGTTAGCTTAAACACTTGAGATTATTTTTTATTTTTTGTCACTTAGAGTTATAAATTTCCTATGACCACTGTGTCTGCTTCCTATCACAAAACAGGATATGTTGTTCTTTCAAATTTGTTTTTCTATAACTATTTTTTACATTTCTTTTGATGTATTTTTTACTGAATGATTATAGATGAGTTTGTTCATCACTTTTATGTGAATATTTAATATTTTCCTTGTTACTTATTTCTAGTGCCATTGCATTGGGATTGGTGAAGCTGTTTTATCTGAGTTAAATCTTTAAAGCTTATTCAGACTGGGTTTTCAGCCTAATATAGGGTTTGTCAAACTGACTGATTCATAGGCAATTTGGAATTCCACTGCTCTTGGGAACAGTACTCTGTATATATCTGTTTGTATGGCTTAGATTGTGGGTTTGCTCACATGCTCTGCTTCTTATTGATTATCTCTAGCTATTGTATTCATTATTGAAATGGGGGTACCGAGGTCTTCAGCCCTCATTGCAGAACCATTTATTTCTGTTGTCAACATTTGCTTTTATATTCTGGGCCTCTGGTGTGTGTGTGTGTGTGTGTGTGTGTGTGTGTGTGTACACATTTTTATATATACACATTTATATATTATCTACACTCACTTTCCTAATTAATTGTCCCTGTTATCAATATACGATGTCTTATTTCACTCTTCTAAGAACAATTTTTGACTGCCAGTCTATTCTATTATTAGTATCATCATACTAAGAAGAAACCTGTTTTGGTTTCCATTAGTATGATATATATATATATATATATATATATATATATATATATATATATATATATATATTCCTTCCTTTTACTTCCAGTTTGTTTCTTTCAATGCAAACAGGTGTTTATAGGCATTATTCAGGTTAATTCTATTTTTCTTATAAATTCTTTCAAATCTTTATTTTAATTGGTGAATTTACACTTAAGTTCCTAATGAAAATGAAGCATTTACATCTCCATTTTGGTATTTGGTATATATACAAGTGTGTGCACGTGCATACCTGTGTACAGAGGCAAAGAGGTAAAAATGGGGAGAGATAGAATGAGAAACAGAGGAAAAAAGCAGAGAGAGGCATTTATTATTGGGAATTGACTGTGCACAATTCTGGAGGTGAGCAAGTCCAAATCAGTAAGCTTGGAGAGTTAACAAAGGCTGAAGAATTGAAGGCTGCCTTTCAATGTGAGGCAGAGATGTAGGAAAGCTCATGATTCAATCCATCCAAAGGTTAGGATCGATCACCATTAATTTTTTTCATTGCCTGGTGGTTCAGAGACATGAGGAACACAAAGTGATTAAGCAGCAATTTTAACTTCCAGTTCAATAGAATCACTCTCATATCTCCTGGAGAAGCATTTCTCACTCCCATTGATGTCACTTCCATTTTTACCTATTTCTGGACCTATGAATCTTGACAATGAGAGAAACAAAATCACTTGTTGATAACAATTCTGAGCATATTGGGTAAGAAGAAAACATCAGGAATAAAGGAGATCCCTTAGGACTTCTCTCAGTATAAATGTGCCTTGTGATTAAGTATCAAGGAAAATTATAACAATTCAATTAAAGCAGAACAACTAATATCCCAGATCCTTCAGAAATGAAGTTTTGGATATTCACACCAAGTAAGAACATGACCAGCTGATGTGCTTGCTAAAGCTAAAGGTAATAACAGAATGATTAGCAGAAGAGGGCAGCTATGAATACCAGTTCTGACTACAACACCATTAAATAAATTAAATTTGCTATTGTAATGAATATCTCTTCTTTATTTTGTTATTGATATATGTGTGCTTGCCTTCTTGTATAATCTATTTCTTCCCTATGTAATCCCATTATTATGAAACACAAGATGTGTTGACTTAGATCATATTATTTGGATATCTCAATGCAGTAAAGTTGAACACATGAAATTCACCACCACAAAGAACCACATTACATGTAATTCTGGTAAATCATCTACATCCATGGGTACCTGTCATCATGGGATGCCTGCATGCGTTTCTTCTATTTATGGGTCCATTAGAGTCCGTATTATGTACATTTGCATTTGAATGTGGTAGAAAGAAACCACATGTAAAATGAATGGATGCATTAATATCTTTAAAAAATGGGGTTTTTGACAAGCTGGTCCTAAGATATTGTAACCATTCTCTTTTAGGTACTAAATTCAAGAAATAATACTTGCAGATCTAAGGATATCATTTCTAGAACTTAACTTCAGTGTGGTCCATAAAATGTCTACATACATGGAAAAGAGCTAAGTGAAATAAATCCAGAAATCATGCATCCACAAAGGAAAGACAAAACTTCTAAAGATTATTTTTCTTCCAACAAATAAAAATATCCTTGACCTTTAGGAATGCACTCTTTATCTCCTTGTTCCTGAGGCTGTAGACCACAGGGTTCAGCATGGGGATGACCATAGTGTAGAACACAGATGCAATTTTGTCTGTGTCCATGGAGTGACTGGAGCTGGGCTGTAAGTACATGAAGATACCTGTCCCGTAGAAAATGGAGACTGCAGTGAAGTGGGAGGCACAGGTGGACATAGCCTTCCTATGTCCTGAGCCTGAGTGCATCTTTAAGATGGTGACAAAAATGAATATGTAGGATATCCAGATAACTAGGAGCGCAAAAAAGATACAGAAACTCACAATATAAATAAGAACCAGTTCACTAATGTGTCTGTCAGAGCAAGAGAGAACCATGACTGCTGGAATATCACAGAAAAAATGGTGGATCACATGGGACAAACAGAAGGACAGACTGAATGTGTCTCCAATATGGATGGAGGCATTTAGGAAACCAATCACATAGGAGCCTGTGACCAGACTTGCACACACACTTCCTGTCATGATGCTGGTGTAGTGCAAGGGCTTACACACTGCTGCATATCGATCGTAGGCCATTGAGGCCAACAGGTAGTTTTCCACAGTAACCAGAGCTGCAAAAAAGTACATCTGAGCAGCACAAGCATTGTAGGAGATGACCTGGTGTCCTATCAAGAGCCCAGCCATGACTGTGGGAGTGACAGAAGAAGAGGAACAAAAGTCCACCAGAGACAGGTTTCCCAGGAAAAAGTACATGGGAGTGTGGAGACGAGAGTCCAAGAGAATCAACAGGATCATCCCCAGGTTCCCAAGCACAGTGATGGTGTAGATGAGGAGGAAGGTCACAAAGAGGGGAAATTGCAGACCAGGGTCATTGGTCAGTCCCAGCAGGATGAAGTGTGTCACTTCTGTCCTGTTCTCCATTGATGTTTTCTGAGAATCCTACATGGTCTGTAACAACATCAGCAACAAAGAACAGAATGACAAAGAATTTGAATCAAAACTGGAAAGTATAATTAGAACATGTAACTATACTTTACAATACTGCCAGTATAACAATAACCTGTACTTGGAATATTTCCAGAAAAGCATGTTCTTGAAAAACCATGAATGCATTACTTGCATGCAGGGTACCATACCCTTGAATCTGTAGAATCTTAATTATGTATGCAATTTTGAAATTTTATCACTTGTGGACAATTTAATTGCTTGATGAAAATTAATTGTATGACTCTATGGGTCAGTTCACTACTGATGACCTAGTAAAAGCTGACTCTTCCTTGTTGCCCACCTGCCTGGAACTGCTGTAGGCCCTGTGGATGTATATCCACTGTCTCCTCCCAAGAACATTATGAGTTTAATTGGCCGTTACTTCAAGTATATAGTGAACCACAAGAGAAATTTAGTCATAATTGCCCAAGTGTTAATGACAACCTCAGCCCTGGACCCATGCCAATCTTTAACACATGTTGATTCATTCCTAAGTCTAAGGGTCTCATTTAAATTTAGATAAAATTGTTTTTAAATAAATTCATAATTACTCATTGTTCATTTTGTTTCCAACTCAGTGTTTAGGATTCATGGTGAATTTGAAAATGACTGAATAGGTGGAAAACTCATCTTGCTCAATGTATGTTTGCCTTTCATCAGTGGTAAAACAAACAAAATCTGGAAGAGCGAAATGATCCTTCTTTCAACCACATATGTGTACTGACTAACTTTTCGAACTCTGAGTTGCACTGTGACCTTTCCCCCACAATCTCATGCTTATTATCACCAGCACATCTACATAAGTTGACAAACCATGTGCCTAAAAATGCAAACTTTTAATCAAGCTGAAGATGAGTTTTACCTCTTGAATCATTATAGCACATTTGTATGCACTGTCCACATGCTGGGATCACAGGTTGGTGGAGCAAGTTCAGTGGGTAGATGCAATTCTGTGTGAAGGCAGGTCATCTAGCATAGCAGGCACAAAGCTTAGGTCTTGGAAGAGACGAATATCAAACCTGCTGCCATTACCGCACAATAGACACTAGTCCTAACCTACCTCCCCAAGATATCCCACTTTCATCTTCAAAGTGAAGTCAGAAAAGAGATCTATGTTCAGGTATTATTGTGAAAGTTAAATAAGGAAGTGCATTAAAAATAATAGAATGCTGGGTATTAAGCCTAGCCTCCTGAGTGCCAGGTATTCTGTTACTGGGATGGGATTATGGTCCATGCTGATTTGATCAAGGTGAATGCTGACATCCAGGGCTTTGGCTGTAGTAACTTTATAGTCTTGAAGCTTCCCTCTTCCCTCCCCAACTTGCCTTTTCCCCTGCATTAGGACCACTCACATTTCCTGTGATTTCCAGTGTTCTCTATCTTTACCTTAAACAAATGATTGTTGCTCCTGCAATTCCATGTGAGCTATTTATTAAAAAAAAAAAAATCTTCCTTAAAATCTGTGTTTTTACTTGAGTAAAGATCCATTTTTCTTAGATTCATTCTTTCTCTTGTCACTCTTATAGCCAAGTCACAGAGCTCAAGGGTTGAAAGATCTATTTATGGGCTGTCTTGAGGCTCAAAGACCTATTGTGGTGGCAACATCTATTTTTATTAAATGCTTCATTGTATAGCAACAGTATTTCAAACTTCTTCATTCACTTTGTTCTGCCTAGGCTGGCTTTGAATTTCCGTGCTTAATTGTTCCATCTTCCTCAGTCTCCAGATCAACAGGGACTCTAGGAATGCCACACTGCACCTCGCTCTTTCTTATTTGAATTCAGCCTTGGGAAGCATTTGTATCCAAAATTAACTACTATTCTTTCCCATTTGCCTGCTAGAGCTTTGGCATTTCCAATTTTTGAGCTCGCCCTTATGAAGTCATTATGTTGGCCAACCTTTAATTTACAAGAACATTTTTAGCAAATATTAAATTTTATAACCAATGATAATGGCTTTGTGTATGAATGTGCGTATGTGTGTGTGTGTGTGTGTGCATGTAAGGATTGTTATTAGTTATTCTGTATTTTTATTCTTACATTACAATGAAGTAAATCCAGGTTGTATGCAGTTATCTGATCTTCAAAAACATTATATAGCTAATAACGAGAAAGACTAAAAATTCACAATTTAAAGCCATCTTCAACCTAATTTCAAAATGTATACTTTTAGTCACAGCATCATAAACACTAGATGTATCTAGTATTATATGTAGTAATAATCTATATAGTAATAATTTATGTGAGACTATAGGGAAAATTATAATGCATTCAGAGCATGCCAATTCATTTAGGACTCTTGTAATTTAATAAAGGATCATTTCACTAGTCTGGTTTTGTTGTTGATGATTTTTTGTTTGTTTGTTTCTTTCTTTATCTTTAGCAATAGGTAAATATATAGAGAAAAGATGACATCAGCAGCTAAACAATCAATGTGCAATATGTCTTACTTTTTTGTCCATATTTTTGGAGAAATAGCACTGCTAAATTCCCCATGACAAAAGTGTTGGCATCCACACAACAGGCTCACTTCCTGTTTTAAGAGCAGCATTGAAAACAGCTCTTTCTCTTTAAAAACAACTCACAGTAAGTATAGCTGCACCTCTGCTTTTGCATGAACTATGCTTCCCTCTAATAATGTTCATGGAATATATACTCTTACCATACTATTGGAAGAGAAAGAAGAGTCAATTGAGAACATTCCATCTGAAATCATAAAGTAAGCCATGGGCTTTCATGAGTGCATCAGAGGAGATCCCGGGAAGTAATCAAAAGTTTGCAAAATCTCTACAAAAGAACATCAGCATGTATCAACTTCTGAGTCTTCCATGGATTCTTTGTGTTGTGGAAGAGTAGCTTACCTCCTCCTTATTTGGAAAACAAATATGATAAGATTACATCGCTCACATAATGTTGTGTCTGAATATGGCAAACACAGGAAGTCTAGTGAATATCTCGTGAAGAGCTGATTACTTCAAAGTCAACCAACAAAATTTTAAAATTTGAGTCTTTTTGGCTGGGTTTGAAGGCTCAGCAAATCCTCAGGTCAGAAGATGGCCCATAGATAGTAAGCACTGATTATCATTCAGATGAATAATTGGTGTCCAATGGGGAGGGCCATGAATGTGACCCTTTTAAAACAATGTGGCGTTGAGTCATACTGGGATTTCAGAGGCTAATCTTGGAGATCTGGTGAGGATTGCAGACTTTGAGACCTCTGGAGATTCCTCCCAGGAGAATATCTGCAGTTCTCATCCTACTTTTCTAGGGAGGAAGCAATTAAACAGTCCGTGGGGGTTAAGCTGGTTATATTTAGTGTGCACACATGTTTTGGTGTTACTTGTTATTTCTTATATTTCCTAATTAATGCATAATTTCCATAGGGTAACCCCTATAGTTTTAGTATCTAATTCCAAGAATTTTGTCTAGTGTGTCATCTTGTATTCATTACTGCAGTCACTAAAACAAATTCTCTGAGTTGTTCTTTCATAACATCTCTCACGTCTTACACCTGCCATCATCTTATTTTGCCTTTGCTAGAATGTCCTTAAATATATCTTATAATATTTGGTCTTTGAGTCTGATATTTTCATTTTATCCTTTGCGATCATCCTTATTGTCACCTATGTGATAGGACAATATTTTTGTTTCGAAGTAGTATTTCACTATATACAAATTATTTTTTTTTCCATTCTGCAGTTGAGTAACATCTGTGCTGGTTTTAGTGTTTGGTGATTATAAGTAGGCTGATCTAAGTGTTCACTGAAATATTTTTGTGTTGACATAGGTGTTAATGTCATGTCATTCAATACCTAGCAGGCAGGATGATTTCTCAAATAAGAATTGTTTTCTGAATAAGAAACTGCCAACCTGTCTTCTAAAGAGACTCTTCCAATTTGAGCTCCCCTTAGCAATCCATTCAAATTTTTTTTCACATCTTTATCAACATTTTCTACAGTACCTTTTAAAATTATTATTGTTCTCTTTCATTTCTGCTTGTTCTCTAATACATCTCCAGAAATCTCCTTTGCAAATCCTGATTTATTTTTAACACCTACCATTATTACCCATATACCATTATTACAGCTCTGGCCTAGGAATGATTTCTTCTGGCAAAAGAAAGATGAGAGTCATTTTTTTTTTATTTGCACATTTGCTTTCAGTTCACACTCTCAAGCTGACTGATCAGAGAATTCTCAGGACAGGCACATGTGATCATGACACGTTTGTCCTATGCATCTGTGTTACTTCCCTTCAAATAGAGGCAGGGATTTAGCCTTTTCAAACTTCAGCTTCTCTATCATAACAAAAGAGATGGTAAAATCTTGTCATCCTCATAGGATTTTCAAGAACAGTGTTACACGACATATACACAAAGCATAGCACAATTTGTCCACATATTGGGGGTTCTACAGGATAATTACTAAGTTCACTGTTTATCAATCTGATACAACAACATGGGTCACAAAAGTACAGCTACTAAAATAATTTTTCTGCCTCCTCATATCTTCCTGCCCCATTTGACTAGGTAGGACATGTAATAGTTCTGGCTGATGAACTGAGGAAGAATCACTATATGTGTTTGCCCATGCATGATTCTCCATTTGTCTTTTCTCCTACCCTAGGAACCAGCAGGCTTCTGTCCCAGCAGGTGCCTTCATCTTTGAGATGTAGACAGAGCCCTCAACTAACCCACACAGCCTGTGTGAACTTGTAGGAGCATGAGCAAGGAACAAATCTGTAGGAGGCTTAATCATGATATCAGATATCAGAACCTAATATCTGGTGTCTGTATACATTAACTTATATGACAATGGCATTACAGTAGATTAAGTATAGTAAGATGAGAGATTAATCTGGTTTGTTTACTGCACCCTAAATTCAACTACCAATTCCATATAAACCCAAACAGGAAAAATGGTAGATTGGGGTACC